GTTTAGCACAGCTTTTCATCCCCAGACTGATGGGCAAACAGAGAGGACGATTCAGACACTTGAAGATATGCTTAGACTATGTGTATTGGACCTCCAAGGAAGTTGGGGAGTACATTTGCCTTTGGTGGAATTTACCTACAACAACAGCTACCAAGCTAGCATTGGCATGGCGCCGTATGAGGCACTGTATGGAAGAAGGTGCAGGTCACCGATATGTTGGACCGAGGTAGGAGACAAAGCTCTGCTTGGTCCCGAGTTAATTCAAGTAACAACCGAGAAGATTAAGCTCGTTCAGCAAAGAATCAAAACCGCACAGAGTCGACAGAAGAGTTATGCCGACCAGAGAAGAAGAGAGTTAGAATTTGAAGTCGGGGACCACGTGTTCCTAAAGATTTCGCCGATGAAAGGAGTTACAAGATTTGGGAAGAAAGGTAATTTAGCACCCCGTTACATCGGGCCTTTTGAAATCCTTGAGAAGATTAACCTCGCTGCCTACAGACTTGCTTTGCCGCCAGGATTGAGCCAAGTCCATAATGTATTTCATGTTTCGATGTTGAAGAAATATATTCGAGATCCGCTACATGTGATCGACTATTTCAGAATTGTAATTAATGAAGATTTAGGCGACGAAGAGAAGCCGATACGGATTGTCGATAGGCAAGTGAAGCAGTTGAGAAACAAGTCAATACCAATGGTGAAAGTTGAATGGAAGGAGCACTACGGGGAGGATGCTACATGGGAAATGGAAGAAGAAATGAAAGTCCGACATCCAGAATTGTTTTTGGAACAAGGTAACCCAAGTTTGGGGACCAAACTTCTTTAAGGGGGGTAGGATGTAACAACCCTCATTTTGACTTAGTCATACTTGCATACATTTATGGATGATCTTGTTTTAATATGTACATTTGCGAATCTTGTCTTGTTTTGCTTGAATGATTGCTTGCATGCCTTGTTCTCGTCTGGTGCGTTGCCGAGGTCATCTTAAGCCTAGACACCTTCGAGACCTTTGTCACTTAGAACTATCTTGGAACCCCGTTGGTTGACCTCCATCTTCACCCTAGTTTATTGGCCGGGATGTCACCATCTAGGCCGAGGTTCGCGTTGTCTAGGCCGAGGTGTGCATCATCTGGGCCGAGATGTTAGCATCTAGGCGTTCTAGATCCTTGATCCTTGCATGAGTGATTTTGTTCCTGGAATGGTATGACCTAGACCGCGGTGTGGAGCATCTAGGCCAAGGTGTGGCACAGTTTAGTCAAGTGTTGTCCTTCCAAGCCGATGTCCTTGCCCCTTGATTGTCGGAGTCTTGTTGTTAGCCGATGTCGTTACTTGCCGGTGTGCTCTTGCCGCATAGCTTGTTGAGTACACTTGGTCTTGGTCTTGTCTTGTCATGTCAATCACCTTTTTTGATAGAGCCAATCAGCTGATGCCACGTGTCCCGGCAGAGGGATTAAGCCAGTGATTGTCGTGAAGAGCATATCTTTTTGTATCAACCTTGCCTTTTAGAGAGAGAAAGTCTAGGAAGAAGAAGGAGAAGTTTGAGCTAGAGAGAGTGAACTTCCAAGCTTGATTGTTGGAGCTTGAGCCGTTAGATTCGAGTTTTGAGGTTAGAATCTTAACCTATTCTTGTTATTCTTATTGATCATCTAGCTGCATTGCACGATCATACCTATTCTACACGCCATCCATCAGTTTAAAGTTGGTTTTAGAAAGAGAAAATGGTTTTCGTGTGTTTTTGAAGAAAAGCCTCGTTTGATCCGAAAGTTTGCATTAAGGCTCATGCTTTTGTGTTTGTTTTGATGAGATCCTTGAGTGTGGGTACTCAGGTCCATGTTTTTGAAATTATAGCATGAAATCTCAGCTTTTGTAATAGCAAGTTTTGATCTTTGCATTCATCTTCCTCATGTTCGTGTTCTTCATGTTTATCAAGAGGGAAACCCAGATTTTCCCGACTTCGCTTTTGAATGTGGCCATCGAGGCTACACCTCGGCAAGGAGGTGTGGGACTTCGGCCTAGACCTGGAGGTTGCCCAGCTTGTTTTTCCAAAGATAAGAAGCTGTGTTTTGACTTGGTTTGACTTAGTTTTTGAAGAATGTCGAGGTCAATTGCATGCGTGCTATGCCGAGGTCATTTGCATGTAAGCTAGACTTGTTTTGAGTAGTGCATTCAATAGACTTTGCCATGTGCTGTAGGACTTGGACTTGCCTTGACCCCGACGTTTGAAGAACTAGATGAGTGGTATTTTTGATAAATCTACGTTATCAATGTTTTGATAAGCTTTGCTTTGCTTTGTTTTTGAAAGATATTTGTTAAGCATGAATGTTTGTCCTTAGTTTTGTATCTCGTATTATACCTGCTTGAATGACCTTCTCAGAAAGTCCCTTGTGCTGGAGGACTCTAAACTTTCGCAGCACATCTCGTTCGAAAGTCCCTTGTGCTAGAGGACTCTAAACTTTCGCAGCACCTCTCGTTTTGGAAGTCCCTCGTGCTGGAGGACTCTAAACTTTCGCAACACATCTTGTCTTGAAAGTCCCTTGTGCTGGAGGACTCTAAACTTTCGCAGCACTCTCATGTTAAAAGGCTACGGGCCTTTGTAACATAGGTCCTTTGTGCTAGAGGACTCTAAACTTTTGTAGCACCCTTGTTTGAGATGCCCTCTTGTTTTGTCTTGTTTTGCCACGGACGATTTACCGCGCGGATACGTTTGCCAGAATGTTATCATTTGTAATATGTGATGCTAGTAAGTATCCCTTGAAGCTTTGAGGATTTGTTAGATGGACGAGGTCCATTCCTTGATATGTATAAAGTTTTGTTTTGTATTGTTTTGAAAGGACTTCAGCTATTATTCATGCAAACCCCTTTATTATTTATACCATTCACTGAGTATCCAAGCTCACCCTCTCTATATATATGTAGGTGATGAACAAGAAGGCGGTGACACCTAGATGTGATTCTGGAGCTTATTTTGGGTTTTTGATTATGTTGGCTTAACCTGTAATTACGTCGGCAGTCTTGAAAATTATGTTTCTCGATTTGTGATACTTGTATGTTGCATACGTCGGCTTGAGAAGCCTTCTGATCAAGATGTGTGTTTTGTATACATGTTATGTCGATAGTGAGGATGTTGGCAATCCTGAAGGTTTTGCTTCTAGCAGTATTTCATGTATTTTTGTTCACGTCGGCTTGTGAAGCCCTTTTGTCAGTATGAAGGATGTAATTTGTACTTTGCTTCGCTTGTAATTGAGTTGTAACCCATATGCTGGTGATTGCTATTTCATTTAACTTATGCACCGCTCTTATGGACTAATCTGTTTGTATAAATCGCTTCCGTACTTGTTAGCCCCATATAATTATACTCTGATGGTGTGTGGATTTTGGAAGTTGGCCTTAGTAAATCTCGGTTTACTGGCCATCATGGCACCAAAGTACTAGGGGTGGTTTGGGGTCGTGACAGTCCCTACTTCAATTGTTTAACCAAACATCAGATTAATAATTTTATTGGACTATTAGTCCAATCCCAAGCTCATGTCCACCCAAACAAACACGACCTCTGTTTATTGTCTGTAACTTGATTACTATTCATTCAATACTCCCTTTTGCAACCCGCTATAGTAGTTAGTGTTTATATGCTACATGCAATTTAGTTAAAGTTTAAATAGGTTATTGGGATGGATTTACAAAATTACTGTGAACTATTTTATTCTTAGTCAAATTATTAGTGTTTATATATGCTACAAGCAATTTAGTTAAAGTTTAAATAGGTTATTGGGATGGATTTACAAAATTACTGTGAACTATTTTATTCTTAGTCAAATTATTAGTGTTTATATATGCTACAAGCAATTTAGTTAAAGTTTAAATAGGTTATTGGGATGGATTTACAAAATTACTGTGAACTATTTTATTCTTAGTCAAATTATTAGTGTTTATATATGCTACAAGCAATTTAGTTAAAGTTTAAATAGGTTATTGGGATGGATTTACAAAATTACTGTGAACTATTTTATTCTTAGTCAAATTATTAGTGTTTATATATGCTACAAGCAATTTAGTTAAAGTTTAAATAGGTTATTGGGATGGATTTACAAAATTACTGTGAACTATTTTATTCTTAGTCAAATTATTAGTGTTTATATATGCTACAAGCAATTTAGTTAAAGTTTAAATAGGTTATTGGGATGGATTTACAAAATTACTGTGAACTATTTTATTCTTAGTCAAATTATTAGTGTTTATATATGCTACAAGCAATTTAGTTAAAGTTTAAATAGGTTATTGGGATGGATTTACAAAATTACTGTGAACTATTTTATTCTTAGTCAAATTATTAGTGTTTATATATGCTACAAGCAATTTAGTTAAAGTTTAAATAGGTTATTGGGATGGATTTACAAAATTACTGTGAACTATTTTATTCTTAGTCAAATTATTAGTGTTTATATATGCTACAAGCAATTTAGTTAAAGTTTAAATAGGTTATTGGGATGGATTTACAAAATTACTGTGAACTATTTTATTCTTAGTCAAATTATTAGTGTTTATATATGCTACAAGCAATTTAGTTAAAGTTTAAATAGGTTATTGGGATGGATTTACAAAATTACTGTGAACTATTTTATTCTTAGTCAAATTTATTAGTGTTTATATATGCTACAAGCAATTTAGTTAAAGTTTAAATAGGTTATTGGGATGGATTTACAAAATTACTGTGAACTATTTTATTCTTAGTCAAATTTATTAGTGTTTATATATGCTACAAGCAATTTAGTTAAAGTTTAAATAGGTTATTGGGATGGATTTACAAAATTACTGTGAACTATTTTATTCTTAGTCAAATTTATTAGTGTTTATATATGCTACAAGCAATTTAGTTTAATTGTGAGAGTGATTGAAGAAAGTGATTGTAACAGAGTGTTTCCTCTAGTCTTCAGGGCTCTATTTTACACCTTATTAATCAAAATTATGTTGTGTCTTATTTGATTCAGAAAAATACGAGTACATCCAATTTTGAACGCATTTCCAGACATTTTACGCAGAGCTTGGCTCATGAGACCTGCTTGCAAACCCATCTGCTGCATTCCAATTTCCCCCTATGTACAACAAACAGACCCAAGGATGTGTCAGGCATTAGCAATCTTGTCAACTTCTATATTCTGAAAATAAAAACAATGTAACTTACTTCAATCTCAGCTCGTGGAGTAAGAGCTGAGACAGAATCAACGCAGATGAGATCAACAGCACCAGATCTGAACATACGATCTGCAACTGAGGCAACAAAAAGTTTAAAAATTATTTACAATATGATCTTGGCTTGAAAAGATCAAGCTGCATCTGGGGGTCCTCAGCTACAAACTCACCATGGAATGGTCTAACAAGAAAAAAAAAAATGATTTATAGTATCAACAAACTAGAACTCCAGATTGCACAAGAAAAAGATGGTACATGGGGCCACATACCTTAAATTTTCAAGACAAATGACTTGAAAACGGCCATCCAAATGCCTCCCTATGGAAGTTCCAAGCCCATGAAGACCAGAACTTTTACTTACAGAACCATCATTTTCATTTGTTTCCAGAGCTTTAACACCATCATAAATCTTGCAGACAACTGCCAACATAGTTTCTATACCCAACTACTCCGAGAGAAGCCTGACTCCAGAGTTGGAAAAACAGAACATGTCAAGTATACTATAGATCACCAATAACAGTAAGACTCTTTGACTACACCTTAATCAACATGCTGTAGAAAGTCTACCATCCATGAGCCAGTAAAGTTAGCAAAGCATCTTAACATCAAAACTGCCAAGACATCAACGTAACAACAACACTCATTGCACCCATTAAAAAACACACGACCATGCAAACTTCAAATGAACCTAATAATAAACAAAACATATACCAGAATATAGCTATTCAATCACTAGAGCTATATATCATTAGGATGGGACAATTAATTCTCTATCATGTCCATGTTAAAATGGCTGAAAAATGATCGAACACAGCTAAATATGAAGCAATGACAATAGTACAAAGTAAACAATTAAAAACACAGAAGACTGCAATTTCAAACCAACCTGCTGAGATTGTCATCATCCATTTTCCCAAGTGTAGCAACAATACCCAACACATCCTTGGTCAACAGAAGATTAGAAGCCTCATTGCCATGGCAAGTTTTCAGCAAGCACAAAATGCCAGCTGCGGATTTCTCGTGCCCTATAATATGTTCTTATTGTTCCTCCTCACTGTCCACACCAGTATGATCCCTGTCTTCCATCATAGGCATACTTGATGAATGATATTTCCCAAGATTAATTAGGATAATAATTATCAGGAAAAAAATATAAGCAAATGATACAAGTAAATCATACATTATCGCAAGAGAATCAAGATCTTAACTTCTTCAAACTCAAAATTATTTCGCTTCCAAAGTTTGAATGCAGATCTTACTAACGTAATAACTTAATTCCATGTAATCGTAATAAGAAAAGCATGAAGTTGATCTTCAGTGTGAACAAGGGGTACGATAGAAATTGGTAAAATTTAATGAGTTATGCTCATTAGAAATGCATTATTGACAAAAACCAATCACACTCATGGAGCGCACTATGTGGCCTCTGCTTAAGGGCTTAGGGCACATAATTTTTGCTAATTGGCACTTGAATCCTGCATCTTCCCTTTTGTTATGACAACATATACCAATCAAGCTAATTTCTGGCAGTAACTTCTTTTCTTTCTTTTTTTTTTTTTCAAAAAATGTAATATCTTAAAACATTTAATTAGAAAATTAGATAGTAAATTTTACATGGACACTGACACAAACTAAAAATTAGAAAATAATATACCTTGCATGTTGAGAATGAAGTCATCCAAGCTGTTTTTCTGAGACTTCATATTTTTTATGGCGCTGTTTGGGAACACAGTTTTTTGATTTTTTTTTCACTAAAAGACAAATTGGTTACAAAACTTAAAAAAAAAAAAAAAAAAATCCAAACAAAATATCACATCAAATCCCATGATTATTTCACTTTTTCTCTCACAAACATCACATCCAACCACAAAAAAACCCAACTATCTTTCCAAATACAAAAAACAATTTCTCCAATAATATCCTACAACTAAAAAAACCTACAAAAAAACTTACTTCCCAAACACCCACTATATTGTCTTCATGCTGTTTTAAAGCAACGCAAAATTACTCCAATTGACCAACTCCCACTGATAATGTATATAAACAGTCTAACAAGATATATGCACCATGAACAACTTTGTCACAACCAGGATGAGAACTAAAACATGAGATTCATTGACCATAACATTATGACACAACTTCAAATAATCCCTAACAACCTTAGAAGTAAATAAAATTGTTTCTCCCTGACAGAATGCTCCATTTTGCACTTCATCCCTTGGAGTTAGACAGGAATCATTTTGACAAAAAATATGGAAGATTAGAAGAGAAAGGAGTAAATTACCTGCTGAGCCAATTAAGGAGGGAATCCCATAACCCCATTTTGGAGAAAATGAGAATTTAAGATGAATCGAATGGAGTTGTCAAGAAAACCCTTTTTCTTTTTGTTTTTGAGTTCTGAGAATGCAATTCAAAGCAAAACAAATCAAAGCATCATGTTTTGTAAATTGAATTGAAGAGAGAGAGATCTGAAACTGCTCATACATACATATATGTATTGTGTGGGTGAAAATCTGACCACACTGCCCGTTTAGTGATCAGCTGGAGAGCACAGGCAGAATAAATGGCTTTAGCAACCTGTAACAGAAAGAAAAAGCTCCGGCGGTGGTTCTTCCACCCGGGGGCACTCCGACGATCAAGTCAGTATATCTCTCAAAGATAATCAAGTGCTAAACTGAATACTCAAAACATAAATTGCATACCTTAGACCCACGGGGGTGCCTCTCTTTTATAATATACTCAATCCAAGTCCCACTTGAAGTATGACTTCTACGAACTTCATATCAATGTTTACTTTGGACTCTTTAAGAGATAAAGATAAACTCCCTAAGAGCTTTATCCTTATCTAGGTTAAGTCCCCTCTTCGTCTTAGGACTCTTGTCCCCTATCCGCCTATTTCGGATTCCGATATCTTTGGAGATAACCTCGGCAACTCCGAGATCACCTCGGCGTAACTACGAGGACACGTGGCACCTCGGCTGACA